CAGCTTGATAGATTGCTGTTTAGACAGATTAACGACGCCAAGATTCCAGAGCTGTTAGAGATAACAATCCTCTGTCAGGCCCCGCCCACCGGAAGCTCCTAGAATTTATTTCTCAAACATGAGATCTATGCCCCTACTGTTTGTCCAATCTTTTAAACTTTGAGAATTCTCATAGGTGGGATTTTAAAAAACAAAAGCAAAAAAATGTTAGCATAACCAAGGAATAATTAGGCATAACTAAGCCCCATATAGCTTTTTTATTCTTGACCATTTCTAGTAGCTTTATTTATTTATTTATTTATTTATTTTATTTGTTGCATTTATGTTGCCATCTATTTGTACATAGCGACTCAAGGCGGCTTATAGAATATAAAATATAATTTAAAACAACAAAATAATGAAAAGGGATCAAATAAATTAATATAATAAAATAAAATCGCCCCAGCAACAGCAGATCATATGAATATTGATAATGTTGAAATGTTTTTAGAGAATGTAAGATATATACACATGAAAATCCCTACCTATGGAGAAACATTTTGTGATAATGATGGCTCTGTGATGTATGGAAAATGAGATAACTTAATAAAATGGCACTAAAACATCTGATTAAAAATAACAGTTGAATAAAATAAAGATGTATATTATGGGTATCAAATAGTAATTGATGCTTACATTTGTAGAAAATTATAACAAATCTTGAATTAATTATAAGTTTTGATAAGTAATGTAATTGCATATGTGCTTTTTGTTCATCATTTATATGTATGTGGCTTTAGCCATCAGGTTTACTTGCTTACTTGGACAGTAATGACCCTGTTCCAGAAAAGGACTGGGACCGGATGCATATTAGGGATAACTTAAAAATTGCAAATGTAAGTATGAAATTTTCCTCTTGAATTGTTTTACTGTATACCTGATTTAAAATATCATGGCTTTAAGTGAAGGTAAAAATGATTTAGTTCAATTTTCATTATTTCTGTGGATAATTGATTTCTATAAATTAATTTTGGTGATTGATGAACTTTCTCTATAGGATCAGTATGGGAAGTTTAATAAAGTGCCAGAATGGCAACGACTTGCAGGAAAAGCTGCTAAAGGGGTTGAAAAATTTGCTAAAGAGAAGGTGGATTTGGTTTTGATGCACTGGCGAGACAAAATGGGAATAGCACAAAAAGAGGTATACTATTATTTTGTGTTCATGTTAATGTGATTTCTTTCCGTTTCAGTTGTTTGTCTAGATGTGCTTGGTTGTGTTCATTTTGAATGTATTATCAATATATTTTTATCTACAGAAAAATTGAAGATAGTATTTTTCTATTAAAGATGATGCCTAATCAAGCCTAATATTTGGGAAATTGGTATTTAAGATAACTGTTGTTTATAAAGGTGAAATATAAGTTTAAGGGAACACCTGTATAATTTGAGTAGTTAATATATTTAGATGTATGAAAATATCTCTGACAAATTTGTCTTAGAATTTGCTTTCCTTCCATTCTTCTGCTTACTTATATATTTATGTATCTTTTTACTGAATATAGTTGTTTATGACTTTTTATGTTACATGGTTGTGATCTGATTTACACTCTGTTCTTATCCATAATGTGATTCATGTTTGGCTGAATAGTCTTAAGTAAACCATAGTTTTTTTCTGAAGAGGAAGTTGTACAAGGTGCTAATCCAAAACAAACTAACTTCAGTATGGACTAGTGTACTGAATATCTGATGTTTGATGTTGACATAATAGAAATAAATAGAAGCATTGTAAGTACTTATTATCCATTCGGTTCAGAGTACTAGATAGATCAATTTATGAAATTACAAATATGAGTAACATATATTATATAATTTCAATTGTGGCCACATATAAAGTTCTAGGATCTTTTTTGTCATTAAATTACATTACAGTTTCCAACGTTAATATTTTCTATTACTTGAACATCCCCTCCCACCAGCAGTATGGTTAGTAGAAGTTGGGGGTGTGATCTAAGGTTCTCAGCCCATAGTGCTATTATATACAAATACCTTATTTGTAGGAGGTTGTTCTAAAATATTAAAACCTTTGAGAGGCATTTCTGTTAAACATAAATTTTGTTTTTCTTTATTTCCCAAATACAACTAGGATAGAAACAATATGGTGAGTCTTTATTCTTTTCTGCAAAGTACCTTGAATTAGCTTAGTGTATTGTATAAAATTGATTAAAACTATTGCTTGGTTAAGTTTGGCTTATTATTGATGTTTCAGCTCTATAAAAATATAGAAGTTTTCATTGCTAACATTTCTATTTTGGTATTTTTCTCCAAATTGATTGCCTTATATTTCAAGTTATTTTCATAAACATTGTAAAGAAGTAGCTTTCTCACACATCATATAATAACATAGTTAAGTGGTTTTATACCATACTTTGCAGTGAATTGTTAAGTTTTTATAAAAATGAAAAAGAAGCTACAGGTACAGGACTACAACTGGGATGAGAGCTTCCTTTGTAAGTTGATGTGATCATAAAGCAAATCACATGATCATACCCAATTTTGCAACCATTTTTACTTTGGCCATTAAGCAAATAACTGTGGTTGTTAAGTGAAGCATGGACTCATTAAGTGAATCAAACAGTTGTAAATGAACCTGGTTTCCTCAATTGATGTTGCTTGTCAGAAGGTAGCTGGGAAGGTTACAGATTGTGATCACATGACTGCCAGATATTACAACCATTGTTAATGGGATCTGGTTTCCAAGCATCTGAATTGCTAAAAGTCTGTAGAGAAAAGCACCAAAGGTGCTTTTTCAAGAGGCAACTGGGCTTTCTTGTTTTTTATTTTGAAGACGTTTTGCTTCTCATCCAAGAAGTTTCTTCAGCTCTGACAGGACAATGAGGAATGGAAGGATTTATATTCCTTTCAGACAACTGGTCATTTGCATCCTTTTAGAGGGTAGTTGAAGCACTTGGAAGTTTATCTATGTCTTCAGGGTCCCTTGGGTAGTGCTCCTGGTTCTTGTAGTCTGCAATCATTCAAGGGTTGTTCATCCCAAACTGTATAGCTAAAAGTCTGTAGAGATTCTCAGTCATTCAGGTCATGGT